GAGGCTCCGCGTTTCTTTCGCGATGACTGGAGTAATGCCGCCGATTCGATCGGCGAACGGAGATAACCCGATACGAGCACGCATGCCAAATACACAAATGAAGATGTAGGACGCGATAGGCGCCTTTTCGTGCGATACCAGTTTTTCGTTGCTTCGATGTGCAGGGAAATCGCGGACGCCTCTGCGCGCGACGCGTGTCGCCGATTTAAGGAAATCGAACGAGACGGACGGACGGGCGTCGATCGGCCGCGATGCAACGGCGTTTCGGTTCGATCGATATCTTCGATCTTTTCCAACAATATCTCGGATTTTCTTCCGTCTATTCTTTGCCAAGACGGTAAATTTTCTGCAATTGCCTGTCCTTCAGCTTGTAAAAATAGAAGTGGACAATTTGGGAAGAGGAGAGCCGCGAGGCTCGAATAATCGTATCTCCCATTACTAAATTTTCCATTTCTGTTTTTACAAGCTGAGGGACAATTGGAGAGAATTTACCGTACTATATTACTACTATAGTAATGTCTCTCTAATTGACGCACAGTTGTCCACGAAAATGGACAATTTTTCGAGCCTTGCGGTTCGTTTTTATAGTTACGAATCGTAAAAAACTATAAAAAGCGAGCTACAAAGCTCGAATAATTATCGCATCTTCTACTCCGAAATTGTCCATTTTTGTGGACAATCTTAGTGTCAGTTAGAGAGACATTACCGCACTACAATAATGTCTCCCTAATTGACGCTCAAATTGTCCACAAAAATGGACAATTTTGGCAAAGGAGACACGATTTCTCGAGCCTTGTGGCTCGCTTTTTATGGTTATCAATTCTCAACAACTATAAAAACGATTTGCAAGGCTCGAATAATCGTATCACCTCTCCCTAAATTGTCCATTTTTCTGCACAATCTGAGCGTCGGTATGGGAGACATTACTGTATTTACCGAAGGACAATCGGAGAGAATTTATCGTATCCGCGTATCAATCATCGTCCCTTTCTCGTGTCAATTCGACGCTACCTTCAACTCTCAGAGTATACTGTTCTCCTACTCTCTCAGCAGAACTCTGGAATATACAAACTCCTCTCTCCTCGAACAGTGGAGATATCGAAAATGACAAAAGTATTTCGGCGCGACCGTCGATTTCATTCGATTCTACTTTCGCTGCTTCGGCAACGGATAAACTTCGAAATTTATCGCCGAGGATAGAAACGATATTACTGTACGCGTGCACGCGTTAACTTTCGCTGGGAACCGCGCAAAATCCACGATCGACGGTGAACGCAATCGCGATTAACGTGAGCAAAAGAGTCGAAGAAATGAAATGCGAGCGACAGCGCGGCGCGGCGCGGCGCGATGCGACGCGACGCGACGCGTTATTGTTATTTTGAACGAGGATAGTTCTTGAAACCGCGGTCGCGCGGTGTCCCGTAATCCGCAACGGTTTCGAAAAAGGCGTGCGGGGGCGGCGCAGCACCGCAGGTGATAATGTAACGGCACGGGGGTAGGACGTGCCTACACGTTATATAGGAATTGGTGCATGGCAAACAGGGCAAAATAATCGGACGTCGAGAGTTATGGGGCGCGAACCGGCGGCCGGTTAATCAGCCACCGATAATTATCGACACGGGCAGTACATCACTCCCCTCCCGGCCTCTCTCTGCCACCCCAGTGCCCTCCTACCCTCCAGCGGACCCTCTCTTCGTTCTGCACGGGAGCCACCACCCTTGCACCCTTGCAGCCTCCTCCTCCTCCTCTTCCTCCGGTCCTCCGCCTCCTACGCCAGAGCTCTGCCAGCTCCGGCAGCTATGCCAGCGTTGCTCCGGCTCCGCTCCGCTCCGCTCTGCTCCGCTTTGCTCCGCTCCGCTCTGCTCTGCCTGCCGGCAGACCGACATCCCACCGCCTCCCGTGACAAACGCACCGCCGATACCATCATTTATTTCGCAAATGTGCTGCAAAACTGCCGCTATTCATTTTCGGTCCAGTCGATTCAGTTTTCCGCTCCGAGAGTCCGTCCTGATGGCATTCCGCGCACTCGCGCGATCGTTTTATCGCTTCACGCTGCCGCTGTACGCTCCCGCGATCCGCCGCTGACCAACCTAACCGCCCAGCGAACGATAATGCGATTCATCCGCGCCGATTTTTAATCGACGCGACGATACTCGCGATCGTCGAATATCTTCCGCGGTCACCGTTTTTCATCAGTCGCGATATCTCGCGGTTTCTCGTCGCGCGCGCGCGTTCTATGCGAGTGTACTGGTAATTCTATCCAATTGGCGGTCGGATTGCGCACAAAAATGAAGAATTTGGGAGGAGGAGATACGATTGTTCGAGCCTTCTAGCTCGTTTTTTATAGTTGTTGATAATTCGTAACTATAAAAACGAATCGTGAAGCTCGAATAATCGTATTTCCTATTCCCAAATTGTCCATTTTTGTGGACAATCTGGGCGTCAATTAGAGAGACATTACTGTACTAGTAATTCTCTCTGATTGGCGATCAGATTGCGCACAAAAATGGACGATTTGGGAGGAGAAGATACGATTATTCGATTTATAGTTGTTTTTGTAGTAGTTTTTATAGCTTTATAGTTGTCTCCTCTTCCAAAATTGTCCATTTTTGTGGACAATCTGAGCGTCAATTAGAGAGACATTACTGTACTAGTAATTCTCTCTGATTGGCGGTCAGATTGCGCACAAAAATGGACGATTTGGGAGGAGAAGATACGATTAACCAATTTATAGTTGTTGTTGTAGTAGTTTTTATAATTTCATAGTTGTCTCCTCTTCCAAAATTGTCCATTTTCGTGCGCAATCTGAGCGTCAATTAGAGAGACATTATTGTACTAGTAATTCTCTCTGATTGGCAGTCAGATTGCGCACAAAAATGGACAATTTGGGAGGAGGAGATACGATTGTTCCAGCCTTGCGGCTCGTTGTCATAGTTACCGATTGTCAACAACTATAAAAACGGATCGCGAGGCTTGAATACAGTAATGTCTCCCTAATTCGCACTCAGGTTGCGCACAATAATTGACAGTTTGAGACGAGGAGATACGATTAATCAATTTATAGTTGTTTTTGTAGTAGTTTTTATAATTTCATAGTTGTCTCCTCTTCCAGATTTGTCCATTTTCGTGCGCAATCACAGCACGAATTAGGGAGAAGATCGAAACAAAATTTGATTCTTTTATCATAAAAATCTAGTAACGATGGCAAACAAAACATCACACGATAAACAGAAATTGTCTCAACCTATTAGGCAAATTATTTATTATTTAATTAATTATTAAGCGCAGATAAGCGCTAATCGTCGACGCATTTACGATAGAAATTGCAGTGCATTTAAGAGTATCGCTGTGCAAGGAAAGCATAAATTTGAAAGTTCATTTCCTCATTCGATGACGCAAATAACGAGCAAATTCAGACTCGGTAGATCGCAGAGCACGCGTACCGCGCTTAAGACGCGGTTCGTTGACGATTTGTTCGGCGATTTTGACGGACAAAGCCGTAACGACTGTGACACGACACTGAGAATCGTGTTTTACGGGTATCAATCGGAGTCCAGCCGTGTGTCCGTAGCCGTGCGCGCGCGGACTATGCGAAGCGGCAGACTCGAAAAGGGGACTTTCCGTGCCATTACTCAAAGATGGCATTGGAGTCCGGTGGCCTAATCTCGGCACATGAGACCTTAATGGGATTTTAAGGCGTCGAGGCCACCTGCGCGTTCGCCCACGGACAACCTCGTTTGTCTTTCCTCTTACCGGTTTGGGCATTCTTATTGCATTCAAGGTCGCGCCGAGTGTACCTATTTGACCCTAGAACAGAGAATCTCACCGGTGACGGCCGAATTTGGTATCGAGGATCGTTTTGCGACATTGCAACGGAATGCTCGCTCTTTTCGCACTCGTTCACCATAACGAAACGATCGCCATACCGTCGCCCGACACCGGTGAAAGCCGACGCAAACAATCGTGAAAACCGCTCGCTCTCGAAAAACGCGCTTTTCTCGATCGAATGTCGTCGTTGTTGCACGTGGATCAAATTATCTGTAACAATTCAGGCTTTCGTTTCGGATCTTCGCGATGTTTCGATTTGCAGCGAATACGGTGAAGCATCTGTTTCCTTCTTTGCTCGATTATTATGCCTGCATTCAAGTTCTTAAATTAGTTAAGTTACTATTAGACGAGTAAACTGTGAACTACGAAGTTCAATTTCTTCAAATGTATATGGAAAAATACAACATTTTCATGTCCCAAAAATGTCTCGCAATCCGAAAGTGGCGGGTTCCTCGGGTCATTCGAAGCAACTTTTTCCTTTACAACAATTTTCTCCGAGGCACCGTTAACGAGTTATTAACGAAAAACAGTGACCAATGAGAGGCGAGCTCGGCTGGCGCGAGGCGACCGAGCCAATGAGCGGAACTAGGCTTCGTGCGCTGGTTGGCTGGGCCGCCTCGCGTCAGCCGCACTCGATTCTTATTGGTCACTGTTTTTCATTAATAACTCGTTAACGGTGCCTCGGAGAACATTTTTGTAAAGGAAGAAGTTGCTTGAAATAATACGAGGAACCCGCCATTTCCGGATTGCGAGACATTTTTGGGACACCCTGTATATCCAAACGAAATAAATTCATATCGAAACAATGAAATTTCCGCAGTAAATTTAATTCGCGGGACGAATAAATAGTTAAATCGATGGCCTCTTTCGTTAAAAATAAGATCGTTCGCATTATTCGCAAGCAATAAGACGACGCAGCGAACGTAATACTTTCGCGGAAGGCAGGGAAAAGCGTGTCACAACGGAGAGTGTTACAACGAAGCTTTTACGGATAGCTATTGTCGTCTTTAGAAAAGAAAGAGTTACAAAGAAATCCACGTGAAAAGCGAAAAGTAATTTTATCGCACGAGTGAATGTAAAGAGCTTCGAATTTCGCTTGTTAAAATTGATTGCCGATACTGCGGTCGTTGAAAATGAAATGGTGAACAATCTGTTTTGTTTGTTGATTACAGAGTCGGCGTGAGCAGAGCTCAGTTCGAGAAGCAACCGCCGAGCAATTTAAGGAAGAGTAATTTCTTCCATTTCGTGATCGCACTCTATGATCGACACGATCAGCCTATCGAGATAGAAAGGACCTCGTTCATGGGTTTCGTCGAGAAAGATCAGGTAATTAACCTTAACATTGCACCACGTCTACCGTATGAAAAAGCTGAAAACCGCGAGCAATATTTCACGAAAACGGACACTTTCGTGTCTCCGTATTTATCAATGCCATTCGTCCATTTATTCGTCAATATTTTTAGATACAATTTCGCATATATTGGGTTGGCAACTAAGTAATTGCCGATTTCAGTTATAGATGTCTCTCACTCTCATTTTTATGATATCCGTAAATGTTATATTGTAAAATTATTATTATTATTATTATGTTATTTTTTATTATCCGTAAATGTTAGCAACTGGACAAATTGAAAGCGTTATGAAAGCGTTTCCTTGATCAAGACGTAGAAGAAATTGTCTAAAACGATTTAATATTGCAATCGAAATAAATATGTCCAAAACAATAAAAAGAAACGACCCAGAGGGCGGACAATAATTACAACTACGTCGCGCGGATTTGTACACTCTCATAGTTCGTAAAATTTCAGAAGAGAGAGAGAGAAACATATAGAATTAAAATTTCCAAAGGATTTGCTTAGTTTTGTATTATTTTTGACATTTAGCATTGTGAATATCGGATGCAATAGTACAGGATAAATATTATTATTACTATTACTATTTTGATGAAATAGTACAGGATAAATATTATTATTATTATTACTATTTTGATGAAATAGTACAGGATAAATATTATTATTACTATTACTATTTTGATGCAGTAGTACAGAATAAATATTATTATTACTATTACTATTTTGACGCGCAATAGTATTACTATTACTATTTCTCCGTTTCGATAAGTAGTATACCACCGATTTGCAATCGACAAATAGATCGATTCTGAATGATCCGTTCGAAATTGGGAAATTTATTCGCGCCGAACGAATGTTGCACGAGTGAAAATGGGAAGTCGACTTATATTGCACGGGAGTTGTTCGGTTGCCATGGCCATATCGATACCCTTACGATTCCGTTCGTCCATTTCTCACAGGGTCAATGGATTTTCGCCTGTCGGACTAATTGCTGGAAAAGCTGGAGGTGTATCCTGCCGACTATCGATATGTATACGCGTAGGCGGAGGCGTTTAATATTTGACGTCGCCCCCGATGGAAATGGCAATTATCGAGATAAGCGTACGCTCGCGCGATATTCCCCGATGTCATAAAGGTCCGCCTCTTCCTTTTTCACTTGTTCCACCGGGAAGACCGGGACTGCTACGGTCCCATTGAAATTCAGAAGTTGTCACTCGACGACATCGTTTACTTTTTTTTTAAAAATTGTTATCGATAAACGCGCGCTATTTTTCATCGATTTCTCGAGCAACCGAACACCGGCTCGCCAAAACGAAACCGTTCGAACCGTTCTATATCAGTTTCACCGAAAATTTATTCCGTTAAAGGATCGTAAGACCGAGGTAATTAAATTTAATGCTTGTACATATTAACCCTTTCGCTACGGAGCGCTTGCGTCAAAATGCGATCGCTGTGAACGGAGCGTATTATCGAGTAGTCGGCACTGAAGTACGGAATGTATTTCTGGTTCCAAGTTTTCCGTAGTCCGAATATATTCAGATTTTTGTGATCTCGAGCACGTTACCGTTTGTCTCGCATGGCAAACGCTTTCGGTATCGGTATTTTCACTTTCAGTATTTTCACTGTCACTCGTGAAAAATATTCTCCTAAATTTTCTTTTCCCCATGATTCGATGATGGGTCTACAAAAATTAAATACTTTAAAACTCAACGTATTATCGCAAAGGCAGAAATTGAGTATTTACCCGTGAATGATTAAAATTAAGCCAACAAAATTATTTTAGAATTATAAACTCGTGTAAACCTTTTAATCGCTGCTATTATAAATTGCTGGTATACATCCGTCGCTGGCAATGTTCTAAAGAAGACTGAAACTGTGTGTCGTTAGAATAAAACACAATATCGTCTTGTCGATAGTGTTATATTTCATGATAGTCGATTGTTTAAGGCATGCAGCGTTGCCAGATACTCGATTAACAAAAGTATCTCGTGTAAAGTATGAAATAAAAGTATATAT